GATCAGCAATTAATGCTGTTGCGAATATGGTGTGACTTAAGAATAAGTGAATAATACTTTTCTCAAGTAGACCACACATGAAATGAGTAACGGATGTTATTGTTTATATTATTATGTATGCTACAATACTCAGTCGTCGTCCAGGGGTCGTTGCAATAGAATTTTTATTTTGGATGTCAAAGACAATGTAATGTAGTAATTCAATTATTTATTTAGGAAAATTTAAAATAAAATAAGGTTTAACAATCTAATATAATTATAACATAATGCTGGCTTCCTAATTTGATGACTACGATTATTTGGAATAATTGTGCTTCGATGATTGTTCCGATTGTTGCTTCCACGTTCCTGAAATGTTGCTGTCAGACGACACTACTCATGCTAATCTTGATGTTTTGTCAGACGTCGTTAACTGGAGATTAGAAGTGTTATGATGGGTTACAGCCTTGGTTAGCATTCATTAATGTTAAGACGTATTACTACCCTAACTTATCCTACTAGTCAAGATGTATCATGACTACCTTGTCTTGATTTACATATAAGACTACATATACAATCTACTCGTCAAGACGTATGTACTTCCTTGACGCTATAGTTCTACTGACTTGTTTCGCAAAGACGTATTACTACCTTTAAGAGTATCCCTACAAGTGCCCTTGCTTGTACAATGCGCGTTTATTTATACTCAAACGACCGAAGCTTTTCCTGTAGCGCATCGGTACATTTGCCGTTGGTATTTTTGATACTTGTTGTCTTTTGCTGCTGTTGTTCGCCTGGGTGTAATTTCTGTGCTTTGTGTTTTCGTGTGTTCTTGAATTCGCCGTGGTTTGTATTTAGTTCAACCAAAACTTTTATGCTTTGACATTTGTTGTTTTGTTATTTAAATGTGCTTTCTTTTACTCAGCGTCAGTAGTGCCGGTGTTTAATATTTATATTTATTTATTAAGATTTAAATAAATATTACAAATATTAAAATGATTAAAATTATTAAAATTATTAATAATCAATATGATAATATGAATTCTTTTCTTTTATTTTTTTTATGTAGGTGGCTTAAACACTCCTGAAACTGTAAATGATACAACATATGGTACATCAAACCAACAAAAAACAACATCTTTGGGACAAAAGCGCCCCCAACGTCGTGGTGCTAAACAACAACCTGATCGTCCACAGACAGCTCTATTCTGCTTAGGTCTGAAAAATCCATTACGTGAAATCTGCATTAATATTGTTGAATGGAAGCATCCTTAAACATATTTTAAAAAAATCAAATTTTATATACGTAAAATTTAAACGGAGGTTTTCTTAATCGCAACAAACTTTTAATTTATAGACCATTTGAGTATCTAATTTTATTAACGATATTTGCAAATTGTGTAGCGTTGGCTGTGTTTACACCATATCCATATAGCGATTCCAACGTTACTAATCAAACTTTGGTAATTATAAATAATTATTATCAGAAAAATAAAAAAGGTATATTGTTCTGTTAAAAAAATATTAAATTATTTTGCCTTTTCTTTACTTAAATTTTGTAATTCAACACATATAAATTTTACAGGACTTTTATTCATTTATTTACTAAGTATAGATCCGGATTTCATCATGCCAATGGTGCTTAAATTTCTGAAAAATATGACCTCAAATTAGATATTCATAATCTTATGCAGCTGAACGTTACCCAAAGACAAGTAGAACAAGTCACAATACTGTTAAGCACTTTTCATGGTGTTTATTTTATTGCTTTAAGTTTAAGATGTTTTGAAAGGTTTTCAAATATCATATCTGGATTAAGGGGAAATAATTATAGAAGTGTTATCTGAAAAAGATAGTGATAAGATTATTTGCAAATTGAGAAAAGTTACTGTATGTGTTATGCAAAACAAAAGTCCAAAAACGCTTACTCGTGGCACTTCACCAATAAGACCTTATTTTCCTGTTACAAAACGCTGGTACATAATTTTAAAACTATGATTAGATATGTACCACTGAAAAAGATTTTGTAGATTTTCTGACAAGATAGGCCTTCGTGGCAACATTTGTCAAATTCTTGTATCATACCAAGAATACAGCTGAACAGTATTTTTTGTTTGCGAATACTGATTAGATTTCGGTAGGTCTATTGTCACATATTTCTTTCTTAATACGAATTGGTGGTCAGAGATGATATTGTGATGGGCAAGATCTTTGATATTAGATGAAGATCAAGAAGATTCATTGACCTGTATGATGCCGTAACTGTGCGGCTTGGAATTACTATGGATATTTTTTATTATTTAGTATGTATGTATGTATATATATTTATTTTCATTTTAAAATTTCTTCATAACAAAAACACTGACTGGAATAGTTACCGTCAACTAATTTCAATTGGTCTAAATACCGAAGTCAGGTTAAAAACTGAATCTGACGTAACTGAAGCAGTAGAGCATTTCAACTCTTGTGTCCAAATGTCTGCATGGGAATCAACTCCACCAATTTCTAAAAGTGTTAAGCAAGATTATCCATTTAACATTAGATACCTGATTAAAGAAAAGCGTAGGATGAAAAAACATTGGCAACAGTCGAGATTCCCTGCGGATAAAACTCGCTTAAACAAACTGTGTAAACTCGTTAAAGCCCTTCTTTTAAAGTATAACAATAATCGCACGTCGATATACCTTCAAAACCTAAGTGCTTCATGTGATACAAAATATTCCCTTTGGAAAGCCATAAAAAAGAACAACAGACCGATTGTCTATCAACCACCTATACGCAAAATCGACAACTCATGGGCAAAAAGCGATATTGAAAAAGCAGAAACATTTGCGCTACATTTGGACCAGGTCTTTAAATCAAATGATAACCAAAATATGCCTGATGTCATGAATCAAAGGATTAATTTTCTACAAGAGCCTTATCAATTGGAACTTCCAATTAAAAGATATACTATTAATGAAGTTAGAGATGTAATAACAAAGTTAAAAGTAAAAAAAGCTCCAGGATACGATTTAATCACAGGCATGGCCTTGCAGCAGCTCCCACCAAAAGGATTTGTATTTCTCAGTCATCTATTTAACGCTGTGATAATAAGGGGGTTTATTCCGCCACAGTGGAAGATAGCACAAATCTCCATGATACCGAAACCAGGGAAAAGCCCAGAATCCTGTCAAAAGTTATGGAAATCCTGTTTCTAAAGCGCCTTACTCCGTTTATCCAACAAAACAGACTCATACCTGACCATCAATTCGGCTTTCGCCAAAAACATAGCACAATAGAACAAATTCATAGACTTGTTAGACATATCCATAGTGCGATAGATGGTAAAAAATATTGCACTGCGGCATTTATAGATATTTCTCAAGCTTTTGATCGAGTATGGCATGAGGGCCTCCTGTTCAAACTAAAACTGTATCTACCTCTAAATTTTTTCATATTTATAAAATCATACCTCTCGGCTAGGCACTTTTTCATTAAGCATGGAAACGAAACTACAGTACTTCATGATATAGAAGCAGGAGTACCTCAAGGTAGCATAATGGGACCAATGCTTTATCTTTTATTTACTGCGGATCTTCCTTTTACCGATGAGAGTGTTATAGGTACATTTGCAGACGACACAGCTATTTTATCAGTTGACAGTGACCCAATCCGTGCTTCCACCAAACTTCAAACCTGCCTTGATAATGTTGCTCTCTGGATGATAAACTGGCGTATTAAACCGAATGAATCAAAATCTGTCCAGGTAACATTCACTACAAAACGTTCTACGTGCCCGCCGGTCTTAATTAACAATACTCAATTACCACAAGCTGTAGAAACAAAATACTTGGGCATACATCTGGATAGTAAGCTAACCTGGAAATCGCACATATTCAAAAAGCGTAAAGCCTTGGGTCTTAAATTACGAAACTTATTTTGGTTCCTCAGCCGAAATTCCAAACTGTCACTCGACAATAAGCTGCTTATATACAAATCTGTACTTAAACCTATATGGAGTTATGGGACCCAATTATGGGGTACTGCAGCAGACTCAAACCTGGCAATTATACAGCGCTTCCAATCTAAAACACTACGAATGATCACAAACGCACCTTGGTATATAACGAATGAACAGCTACATAAACAATTACATGTTCGAACAATCAAGGATTTTAAAGAATTACGCTCAACGCTTATATATGCACCCAAACCCTCTGGTTACTCAACTGATGTCCCCTTCCAATACCTTTACAAGGCTGAGAAGAAAAACATCGCGAGACATTTTAAATATGTATATGTAGACAATACACTTTTATTTTAAATATATATGGATATGTCACTGGGCATAGTCCATACGTGCCTTTCTTTTTATATCGTAATAACCATTATTACGATTTAAATATATATATATATTACTTATTGTCATTCATTCCTGACAGATTGTAATAAATAAATGGATTTCAAAAAAAAAAAAAAATTTTAAAATTTCAATTTTACAATATGATTAGTTTATCTTAAATTAAGAAATAAATAAATATAATCAAAATAGCGTCTGTGACACATGTCGTCCGTCGACTTTTAATATAATAGTAGTACTCGTGTTATAAATAGTTGTATAATAGTGAGTATAATGTTAAATTATTATATACACGTTATAAATAATAGCTGAGCTATAAAATATATATTAATTATTGTTATTGACCAATTTTAAAAGCGTTCGTTTATTTGATGCTTTAAAATCTTAAAATAAATTTATTTACCTCTAGTACTTAAAATTAATTCTTTTTTACTTACTTTTGGTCGCAGCAACCGTCTTGCCCATTCCGGAACTCAAAAACAAAAGGAAGCACCAATGACAATCAGCTGACACATGAACTGACAGTTCATGTGTGCACTGGGTTGCATTTTCCAATCATAGCTGCACGGTTGCAACGACCAAAGCAAGTTTACACATTTTACAAATATTAACTTTTAGGTATTGAGTGGAGTTCTAACATTCTCCCCTCAGTATGTCTTTAATAAGAATACGACTTACTCTAAACTGCCGCTCCACGAACATCTAATACGGCTAATTTTGCTGCAGGTCTATGATATTGCCCTCGAGTAGTCTGCACTACGGCGCTCCTGGTCTGCCCGTCCCGTGCTTTAATGGCACTAATTACAATTCCTTTCGGCCATGTGTAGCGAGGAGAATTTGGGTCAACAATAATGACGACATCACCTGCTTCGATGGGTTTTATCTTACCAAACCATTTCGTCAGTCTTGTCATCGTTGGAAGCACCTCTTGTATCCATTTTTTCCAGAACCGATCGGCAAGGTATTGCGAATGCCTCCAGGAGGATTTCACGTGCTCGTCGTTAGTATCGAACTTCCCCGGCGGCTTGTTCCCGGAAGATGACCCCAACAAGAAATGATTCGGAGTTAACGCTTCTTCGCTTGCTGTTTCAATCGACAAATAAGTGAGCGGTCTGCTATTTACGATTGATTCTACCTCGCAGAACAGGTTATGCATCTTTTCATCATTAATTTTTGCTTGCGGACTTATTATTGCTCCTAACACTGTTTTTATGGATCGCACCATCCGCTCCCACGCTCCACCCATGTGCGGCGCAGCTGGTGGAAGAAAAACCCATCGTGTTTCCGGACTTGTAAATTCAGCTTGCAATTCATTGAAGTCCACGTTCTTTATTGATTCTCGTAACTCCTTTTCAGCGGCTGTTAAGTTGGTTCCATTGTCACTATAGATGACATTCGGCACTCCTCTTCGGGCTATGAAATTTCGTATCACTATACAACACGAGCTGGCTGACAGGCTATAAGCTATCTCCAAAGGCACTGCTCGACACGTAAGGCATGTAAAAACGACGCCATAGCGCTTCTCTGAGCGCCTTCCTACTGTTACAGTATACGAGCCAAAATAATCTATTCCAACATCTGAGAATGGTCGGGAGTATGCTGATAGTCGTGCTTCTGGTAACACACTCATCTCCGGCGGCTTTGGACTCGCATCACGAACCTTGCAATGTTGACAATTATTTCTTACCTGCTTTAACAGTCTACGCAGTCCCAGAATGTGGTATTTCTGAAAGATTTCGTTAACCACCGTTTCATGATTTAGATGTTTCCATTTTCGATGATACCAGTCTACGATCAACTTAGTTATGTAGTTTTTCCTTGATAGTATAATTGGGAATTTGATTGAATCAGCGATGCATACGGCTTTATCTAATCTAACTTTCAATCTTAAAACATTCTGTGCATCTATGAATGGTGAAAGTTTTCGCAAAGAGCTAATTTTAGAAAGAGTAATATTAGCGTCTCTACTTAATGCGGTCATTTCTTTCTTGTAATCCTGTAACTGGGCTGTCTGGTACAAAAAATTTTCAATCCACTTCAGTTCCTCAACTGACAAGCATTGATTTACAGATTTCTTCTTTTTCATTTCATTAGTTGATAGTAAAAACATAAATCTTTTCACATAGGCCATGCATCGAACTAAACGTTCCCACTCTAAAAATCGGTACACATCTATGAGAGGTTCCTCCTCTGCTACATGAGCCACCAACAATCGTTGCTTTCTGATTTCAGAATCTTCGTTATATTTCTGTACGCCAACATTATTTGGCCAACAAGTTTCTGCTTCATACAGGAACTTCGGTCCCTTATACCAAGGGTTTTTCCAAGTAAAGTCTGGATTACTAGATTGTTTTGTAGCCAAGTCCGCAACATTTAATTTAGTAGGAATGTACCGCCATTGTTCTGCCTCGGACAACTCCTGGATTTCTGCTATACGGAACATTACAAATTGTTTGTAATCTCGTGGGTCAGATTTTATCCACGATAGAACAGCCTTTGAATCGCTCCAATACGTTATACTGGTCACTTTCAAGTCTATTGACCTTTTGATGTTGTTTCCTAAGCGTGCTCCCAATTCCGCCGCGAGTAGTTCCAGTCTTGGAATTGATATTGGTCGTAATGGTGCAACTTTTGCTTTAGAACATATCAAGGAAACATCTATGTTGTTGCGACTCTTCGCTCTTACGTACACCACCGCTGCATATGCAACCTCATCTGAATCTGAATCCTTATTAACCGTAGCGAAGTAACATCTCGGTATCTTCACATTTTTCACACAGCCAAACAGCGACAGCCATTTGTTCCACTCATCAACTAGCTCATTAGGAATAGCGTCATCCCAGCTAACTCCACTTCGCCAAACTTTTTGAAACAAAATTTTTACGTCAATAATGTAAAAGGTAAGCACCCCTAAAGGGTCAAATATTGACATCATCAATCGTAGCAACTCTCTCTGCGTAGGTAATCTATATCCACTTAGAACATCCTCAGTGGCTTTGGTAAACTTCAGATCAAATGTGAGCATATCAGTGTCGGTTTGCCAATGGATTCCCAATACCTTCTCTACCTCAAATGCATGATCTATACGCAAAATTGAAATTCCTGGCCTTGGTTACCTACAGCTTGCAGCACCGCGTTAGAATTTGAAACCCAATTGCGAATATGGAAATTTGCTTTCTTATGAATATTTCTAACCTCATTGACTAGATTAATCGCTTCCTCCACTGTGTCGACGCTATCCAGCATATCATCTACATAATGCCTTTGTAAAATACATTTCACTGCTCGCGGAAACTCGATTTCGTATTCGCGTGCATTACTATTTTTTACCAGTTGTGCAAACGATGGTGAACATGTTGCCCCAAAACTCATAACTAGTAGCAAATAAACGTCTGGGGGTCTGCAATCGTCACAATTTCTCCACAGGAAACGTTGTGAATGTTCAACTTCTTCTTTCACGAGTACTCGATGAAACATCTCTTTAATGTCGCCACTTATACCAATTTTTCCGATTCTGAAATTAACAAGAACATCTACAAACGAAGTGAGCAGATCTGGACCTTTCTCCAAACACGCGTTTAACGAAACTCCGTCATATTGTGCAGCTACATCCCACACTAGTCTTCGCTTTTGTGGTTTATTCGGATTACTGACTGTAAACATAGCTAAGTACCACTTACGTGGATAATACCCCTCGGCTTCGTTAAGTTTCAGCTGGCGTATATAACCTTTCGACTTCATGTCATCGATGTGATCACACACCCAGCTTTGCAACGTTACATTGGAGTGCAGCTTGCGCTCAAAGCACTGAAGTCTACGCAGCGCCATTAAGTAATTATCCGGCATAGTAATATTATTTGATTTCCAAAGCAATCTTGCTACAAAGTATTCACCATTTCGACTTATTTTTGATTGCATACTTTTTTGTTGTTCCAACTCCATAATTTCTAGTTTTTTCGACTTTCAATAACGTTTTCATTACTGACAAAATCTTTCACTAAACGCTGCAAACTCAGATCATCATCGCATTCACAGATGTGTAAATTTAACGTTTCCCTAATAGTATTAGGTTCGTGCTTAATTATTCCATATATGGTCCACCCGAGTCGAGTTTTCGTTGCAGCTGGCTCATTCTTGCCTCCCTCTCTGAACTTCATTGGCATAGCTACCTCTTTATTGATTAGGCCGATTATCATTCGAAGCCTAACGTTTTGATACGATTCTACTGGTAGTCCCTTTAAATGTTTATACTTATCGGTAAGTTCTGTCATATTTAAAGATTGCTCGGGTAGCTCCAGCTTAGCTACTGAACGCACATTGCACAACGAATACCTTTTACCTTCGCGTATTTTGGAGACTTGCAGGTTGACCAGCTCAGAATCAGGTTCCTTGCGTACCGTACCATCTGTCCATCGTAAACAAAGATCTTTCGTTTCACCTTTAATCCGCAGTTGTCTTAATACGTCTTTTTCTATTAACGTTGGACCAGATCCGTCATCCAGAAAGGCATAAATGTTGCAGGTAACACCATTTCCATATATTGTAACTGGAACAATTCTGTACAGCGCTTGTGAAGTTAGTTGATGATGAACCGCCAACGTTTCATTTGCCCCACTTGCAGTTGAACTTATTTGTTTATGTAGCAAAGGGTGATGTTTCATGTTGCAATTGTGTATACCGCACTCTCGGGTCTTCTTCTTGCACGTTCGAAAATCATGCTGCAGTAGACATCTTTCACATAGTCTCATTTCACGCACTACGTCCCACCTCGCGTCTGTTTTTAGTGTTCTGAACCTTGCACACTTTTTCAACGCATGTGCCTCCTTGCAATAAAAGCATGCTAGAATTTTGTGTTTATCGCCTACTGCATCCTGAGGTTCTTCTTCATGAAAATTAATGCGTTGCGCTTTGCGCCTTTCATTATCTGCACTGGCAACAGCACCAAAAACTGGCGATACATTACTTGCTGCTTCTGCTAGTTCATATATCCAATTGCCGAATGTTTTAAGTATTACATTGATATTACGCGATGCAACAGCCCACTGCAATCGCATTTGCGGTGGTAGTTTTTCTACAAGCTCTTGGATAAGCAACGGGTTCACTAAGTGTGAACGTAACTCTGAAGCCTCCATAGGTTAAACCGGCGATCCCAGGGGGATCCACTTAGGCCCATAGGCCCATTGTGATACCGTATTATTTAGAACCCATGGGCTAAAACCATCCAGAACCTTTAACAAAGCTTACGATGCTACATAGATGGAGTTCTCGAAGTTCGTCAAGATCCTCAAAAAAGAAAGCCCCCAAAAATTTAAGGCGACGCCGTGCATGTGCCGGACACGAAGAAAGCAGGTGAGAGGCACTTTCGTCATCCTCACCACAACTGCGGCAAAAATGGTTGAACGGTAGATTCAGTCTCCTAGCATGATTACCTAGAATACAATGACCTGCTAGTAAACCTACTACAAGACTGATATCTCTACGGGACAACTCTAAGAGAGATTTCGATTTTCTATTGTTGGGCTGTGGCCACATTGCATACAGATGCCTGCATATCGCAGAGTCTTCCCATCTTTTGTTAAAAAGTTCGGCACAGGAAGAACTCAAAATCAATTTGCATGAAGTCAACGATATGCCCAGATTGTTTACGTGTTCCGAGTGGTTCCCTGAAGCACCACGTCTGGCTAGCTCGTCTGCTTTACAATTGCCGTAAATATCCCTATGACCGGGAACCCAGATTAGAGAAATATTGAACTGCGTCGACAACTCATTTAGAGATGTGTAGCAGTCAAGAACCGTCCTAGATGTGAATTGGACAGAACTCAAGGACTTTAAAGCAGCTTGACTATCCGATAGTATATATATATTCCTTTCAAGTATATTACCTACTTCTAGACAAGCTAAAGCTTCCTTAATGGCAATTACTTCTGCCTGAAAAACACTACAGTGATCCGGAAGCCTATAGCAGGAGGATATATTCAGCCCCTCTGAGAAAACTCCACTGCCTACGCCGCTCCCAGTCTTTGAACCATCAGTAAAAATTTGCAGACCCTCACCCAGGGAAGGATCTCCTGACAACCAAGCTTCCCTGGATGGGAATCTAACAATAAATTTTCTATCAAAGTCGAGAATCGGAGAGGTGTGGTCAATGTTATTTGGAGTAGGACTGAAAATATTTAGAATCGATCCGTGCCCATAGTCATTACCCTTCCATTGTGAAGTAGCCTTAAGTCTTAGGGCAGATGATGCTGCCAACTGCTTACTGATGATGTCAAGTGGCATTAAATGGAGCATTAGATCTAATGCTATAGATGGTGTTGTACACAGAGCACCACTTATACAGAGTTCAGCCATGCGCTAAACCCTGTTCAGTACCGTACAGTACGAAGATTTATCAAGAGCTGTCCACCATATGGCAATGCCATACAGAAGTATTGGTCTAATGACAGCAGTGTATAGCCATTGAGCGATACGTGGTTGCAAACCCCACCTTTTACCAATAGCTTTTTGACAAAGGAGCAAAGCAATGTTTGCTTTCCTAGCCCGCTCCAAAACATTTTCTTTCCAGCTCAGTTTCCTATCGAAAACAATGCCTAAAAATTTTGCTTTCTCAATATATTGTATCGCAGAACCTTTAATATAGAGTGGAGAAAGATTTGGAACCCTATGTTTTCTGGTAAATACTACGATTTCTGTTTTTCTGTTAATTGTTAAGGATATTCAGGCCATACTGCAAAATATCCCTTAAACTAGTAGCATATTTTCCAGTAACTGCTAGTGCAATGTCATCCGCATATGCAACTGTCCCGCATCCCGCTCTCCCCAGTTTTTGTAACAGTTCATTCACCGCTATATTCCAGAGGAGAGGAGAGAGTACGCCCCCTTGGGGGGTACCTCTATTTACCCGTCTGTGTGTTGCTGATACACCCATTTGTGCTTCAATAATTCTGCCAGTTAGTAACTGACCGATAAAGCTGATAAGCGCATCCTCAACACCCAGACGCGAGAGTGCGCTAGCTATTGCACTGGGAAGAATATTGTTAAAAGCTCCTTCAATATCTACGAAAGCCACTATACAAAATTCCTTTACTTTAAGAGTTTTTTCAATAGTACAGGTGAGGGCATGGAGTGCTGTCTCTGTGGATTTACCCTTAGTGTAGGCGTGTTGTGTCGGTGACCAAAGATTGGGATCTATAACGCGCCTTATTTCAAAGTCTATAATTCTTTCTAAAGCTTTCAGCATGAAAGATGAAAGACTAATTGGACGGAGTTCATTAGGGTTACTATGAGAGGTTTTACCCGCCTTAGGAATAAAAACAACTCTAACCTTTCTCCATTGAGTTGGAACATAATTAAAAATGAGACAATATTTAAAAATGGTCAGAAGCCAGTTTTGTATTTGATCCCAAGAGTTTTGCAGCTCAATAGGATGAATACCTTCCGGTCCTGATGATTTATATGGCTTAAAGCTAAAAATGGCCCATTTTAGAGTTTGTACGTTTAACTTGATAGAGTTTACCGGTGCGTAGTTTAAACATTCTGAGGATTCCGTTGAAGCAAAGGATCCAGGAAAGTGGGTAT